ATATATATTTTGAAAAATTTCTAATAATTTCCAATTTGATTTAACATTAAGAACTTAGGGCTTTACAGATGGTTTTGTTTGCATTCTCATTGATCCTCCCTCTAGATTGCAGGACGCGGCTTGTGTAGAAGCTGCTTGTTGGAAATTAAAGACTAGATGTAGAAAATTTTTGTTTCAGCGAGTGGTATTAAAGATTAACTATTTCTTTTTTCAAGTTACACTTACTATTTTTTATTAATTAACTGTTTCTCTTCCTTATATTTTCTTATATGACTGTCATGAAATATGAGGTGCCGTTCAGTGAAGTGTCCTTAACATGAGTGACCTCTCTGGACAAACGCTCACTATCAGCTCTAGGGAAAGTCGTGAGACTGCTGTGAAAGCTATGGCCCAGACTTCACTCTTCCTTTTGTTTTCCTTTGAAATTATGACTGATACATGCATGTTTATACAAATGCATGATGTAAGGAATACAGACATTCAGAATCTGTAGCTGGGTGTCACATCTGTCTATCCTAATTTACTTACATTTCCCTCCACATCAAGTATAAGTATCTTCTTTCCTCCTGCTGTTTTTAAAAGAGAAAGTGTCACACTCTTGCTGAGTTCTCTTTCTTAAAAGTTTAGTGGAAGGGGGATTTTCAGGCCATTGTCTCTTGCAATTCCGAGAGCCAGGTGTCCATGGTTTCTGAGAAGGGAACAAAGTCAGAGAGATGCCTTGGGCAAAGGCAGAGAGTGGGAGGGGGTGGGATTCAGGGTTGGATGCCTGGAGTAGCCTGAGGTAGGGAGTGGGAATATTCTATACTACCCCAACGGAGAATTATTTTTCTGTAAGCCAGAGGAAAATTCCAGCTGGTTTTTGGTAATATTATATTGTGTTTGTTTTTATTCAGCATTTCATTGCAAAAATTTTGTTTAGCGCTATGCCAGGTACTTGACTCGATTTCCACTGAGCCCAACAGAAAGTAGGCATTTTTAAAAGGTTTATGCCTTCAGTGCAAGACTGGGAAAACTCTGTTACTGATTTAGATTTAACATTAAGCAGCGATAAAGACAGTTAAAATCTTATCAATACTTTTAAGACATATGAAATACTGTCATTTAATAAAAGCACTAGCAAAAGTAAATTTATTCTCTCATGATACTTTAAAACTATTTTAATATCCTTTTAAAAATGTGAAGTACATTATTTTGGATTATTGCATTATATTATGGTGCAGGAACAAAACATGAATTATTCTAACTCTCCTTTTTTATTTCTGAACTAGCTGTTTCTGGTGTTTATATTAACTTTGTTTCTTTTTTTTTTAAATACCTCACCATTACCATACCACAATTTTAAATAGAAGGAATAGAATTCTTTCTGTACATCTTGGAGAAAAATGCAATGAGGAAAAATGCATTGATTCTTTTTCCCTCATGTGTGAACAAACGGGCAGTTAATATAACTAGACTATAGGTACCCAAATAGTTACAATAATTTTGATAATCTGGGAGCTTCACCATCTACTTAATCCAAAAATTCCTTATAAGATAGAAATGACTTAAAGCACAAACTGATTTTCACCATGAAAACAAGCAGTCTTGTGATTTGGAATATTTTCATAACCAGAATGCCATTTGCAATGTGAAAAGAGAACCATGGAAAAAGACAGAACTATTAAACAAGTAGCCTAAAAAGTTGTTCAGTGTTTTCATAATTTGAATCTTTCTGAAATGTGTTATTTTACAGAACTTTCTGCATTTTAATTTTTCTCCTGGTGTGTCAGTACAGTCAGCACGTCGTATCCTGCACCACTAAGAGTATTTGCCACCCAGTGCCAGGAAAAAGATAGTAGCCCACTTGTGTATACGCATTGAAAATTCTAGAGGAAAATACTCTGTATCTAAAATGGGGAACTGTATGGCGTTTTCACTGACTGCTGTGGCAATGTTTGATGTTGCAGGACGGATGGTCTCAGTATCACTTTGTAGCCTCATCTTCAACAATAGAAAGGGATCGGCAAAGACCGTACTCTTCATCACGCACGCCCTCCATCTCTCCCGTGCGCATGTCTCCTAACAACCGCTCAGGTAAGACCAGGCTTTCAGGACTGAAGTAAAGACAGAGGTAATCCGTCACTGTCATTTTCCTTCTTCAAGGAATGTCACTGGCATCCAGATTTGTTGTTAACAAGGGTGGAAGGGTACAAAATGTATTCTTCACTCTTACCTGAATTATCTGTTCAAAACAGGAATATATTTTTGTATTAACACCTTGTAAAGTTTTACAGCAGAAAGAATATTCCATAACTTTTTGTTATGAATTCTCATGCAGTGTTTTCCTGATTGGGATTACCTGACTAGATCTCAGGGCAATGGTGTCCATTTGTAGCATGAGGAAATTCTGTTACTCACTTTGCTAGTCATGAAAACCACTGTGTTGTTTATGACGACTCCACACACTTAGCAGAAGTTGAAGGATCCACATTATTTTTTTGTCAGCTTTTGTTCTGATTATATGTGTATGTTTATATAAGTGTGCATACACATGCATATGTAAGTTTCACAAAAGATTGACTACAGGTCTTCATGTAACATTCATGGCATATTGACACCAGCTATCATTAATTCTGTATATAATGAATTAATGTAAGTATCTCAACTTATGCCGCAGTGTTAATTTTTCTATTCAGAAATCTGGGCATTTTCCCCTCAGTTTATTCAAAGGTAGAAGATACCTTGGTTAGATACATCCATTCCCAGTGAAAATCTTCTAAGATAAACGGAGTAAACCGGTCGGCATTTCAATGTGCTTTTTACTACTTGTTCAGTCAAATTCTGGCATTCAGAGGTATACCAAGAGTTTAGGATTAAAATTGGCCAAACTGATTATTGCCGTCGGCATTGTGCCATAGTTTTGTTTTTAAGAAAATTGTGTTGTTAATTATCTAGAAGCCGCATCTCAGTCCTGCAGAACAACAACTGAGGAAATTTGAAAATACATCCAGAAGTACAGTGAGAGCTGCTATTCAGTTTTCAAAATCTGTCATTACACAAGCCCGTAAAGGGCTCTTGTTCCTTTTTTTCTTCTCCAAAATCTCATTTTGACTGTAAATGCAAGGCACTTGAAATGTCTGGCCCTGAGATCTTAGTTCTGTCTCTTGCCAGAACTGTCTCCTTACTTCTGTTACTCTATTGCTTAAAGAACATACTTAAAGAAATTTTGGATTAAATCTTACTGCCATCATCTGTTATCATAAGACTAGAAAAGAACAAATATAGTGGCTGTTTCTGAAGGAAGAGGAGCCCATGTAATTACAGACCAATCAGCTCAGCTTCATTCTAGAAAATTGCTGGAACAAATAATCACAATCTGAGCATCTCAAAGACAGTAGGAACATAAGATACTGCTTAACTCTAGGAGTATCTGTTTCTACATAGTAATATAAGTTACTGTCTATTTGGTAGTATCCATATCAAATCCAAACATTGGTTCGATACAATTTGTTCTCATAAAATCCACTTGAATTCCTGCTACAACACACTTAAAACGCTTTGTGGAAAGAATAGTCAATAAATGAAATCTACCATAATCAGTAAGACTCTTTCACACAAGATTTTTATAGACAAGCTAGGGCAAGCTAACAAACAGTCCAGAAAATGTCATTTGTGGTAAATACAAAACTGACTGAAAACCATTCACAAACAATGGGTATTGCTTATTGCCAAAATGGAAGAATGCTTTGCTTGGAGGTTTGCCTTGGGTCCAATACTCTTCAGTGGTTTCATGAATGACCCAGATAATATACAAGGCATGCCTGTTACCTTTGCAGCTGACATAAACCCGGGAGAAACACATCACCTTGAAGGGCGTTATTGGAATTCAGAGTGATCCTGAGAAACTGGAGATACTGTCCAAAGGGAAAAAAGATCCAGTCCTTTACAAACAAATTATAAGAAGACTATCTTGCTAGACAAAAGTTCTTTAGAAGTTATTTAGGGATTTTTGCCAGTTGCAAACATGAATCGGGAGGTGAAGAAATCAGGATATGAGGACACACTGAATGGACTGTATTGTCTAACTCGAATAAGAGAGACACAAGATGGGGGCAGTGGGCAGAGGTACGCATCAAGTATTCAAGCACATAACAGCCAGCTGTGAAGAGGAACGTCATGAACTTTCTTTACTTTCATAGCAGGCAAATGGAAATAATGAGCAGCAAGGAGTCAGGCTAGACATCAGGGAACAGTAGGGAAACAAAACGCTGGAACAGACTGCTTGGAGCAGTTATGTGGTCTCTGCCATTAGAGATCTTTAGTTTTAGATGAAAATCTGTCAAGAATTATTTTGGTATACTGGATCCTACCTTGGGGTAAAGAGTTGAAGTAAATGAACTCACAGTGTCCCATCCATCCCTAGGACTTGATGGTAAGATTCTTTAACTAGCGTAGAGAGCTTTGTCATCTTTTCTGTGTCCTTTAGGAATAAGAGTAGAAAGCCTTGATACCACTTTTCAGTCTAATGTCAACCAATAATTTTATGTCTGCTTCCAGTACAAACTCTGAAAGAGGGCACTTCTGGATTTTAACACTTGCCAGAAAGCAGCTGTTCTCACATGGGAGGAGAGAGAGAATTCCCACAGGGAACAGAGAGATGATTTTGTCTTTATCCATCAATTTCGTTCAAAGCACCAGAGTGCTTAAAAGCATTAACAGAGTATGTGAAACAAAATGCATCCCTGTGTTAGCAACTTCTTCAGGGTTTGCATTCTGGTTTGTTCCCTATCAGACTTAAGTTGCCATTAACTGATTTGGTAATTTAATGTCATGTTTCTTTATATCTGCTGGATTATCAGCTTTAGAATTACATCACTATTAACAAGCGATTTAAAAGCAATCCCCAATTCTAATGACTTTATAAGAAAAAACATCTGTCCTGCATTTGCTCGATAATTCAGAGGCCAGGGACAGCAGAACCCATCTAAGCAGAATTCAACATCACTTGTGCTTCCCTACTCCTTAATTAAGTACAAGTGCTTCCCTAATCCTTAACTAAAAAATGTAACATAGTTTAGAGATGCTGAAAGACATAACTCACAATCCAGCTTCACAAATGAGCTTGTTTTACATTTTTTAATTTTTTTTCCTGTTTTTTAAGCAAGGACATTGTTATTGCTTTTGAGGTTCTTTTGACATATCAAATATCTGGGTGGAGGCAGGGGAGGGAGTGGAAGCAAGCACCAGCACTTCAGTTATTTTTGTACCACTGTGCCTTCACGAGGCTCTGGGGTGTTCTGCCACTCCACACTCCACTTGTACTCCTTCCCCTGCCCTCCACAACAGGCAAAGTGCATTGTATCTACCAACACATAAATGTATTGAACTCAGTTTACTTGAAAGCCATTATTTTTTCCTCTGCTTTTCTTGTTTTCCTAAGCATTGCAAGCTTCATGATCAGTGCCAGTGATCACCTTCGCATTTTCCAGCATGTGAGAATCAAGTACAAACCCAGTTCTCCTCCTCGTCACCTTGTGCTTTCCTCCTTTTAGCCATACCATGGCTATCAGTGATGAAGGGTTTAGTTTTAAAGTAGCTACCTTAAAGTAGCAGTTGTTGTTTTAATGGGAATTGTTCATACATAGATATTTAAAGACAGAGAAATTATTTGAGTTGCCTTTAAGTGTTAGGCATTCTTTGCTATATGTTTTCTATGAAAAACACCTTTCTTTTCTTCCTATCCCCATTAGAATCGTTTAATGTGTTTGTTTATTTTCAACAGAGAAGGGAAGAAACCATTTTATAAGGGTTTTTCCACACAGTTAAAAGTTAATAAGTCTTTTCAACAGAAATAAATTAAGCATTTTGAGAAAAAAAATTGAAGTGTCTATACCACAAAGTTTTGACAAGATAAAGAAATTAAAAGGCTAAAGGGGAAGAAAAAAATCATTATTATTGTACTTCTTTCTTAATGATCATCTTAGATGTTGGGTGCAAGTGAAAAAAGTAAAACGTTCAGAGAGAATATTATGTTTGGAGTCGATTGTGCCATGCATACCTTTGTCCTGTATTTGAAATAACAGCACCTTTTCTTTTCTTCCATAACGGGGTAGTGTTTCTTCAAATAGCTTAATGTCAGTATGCTAACAAATATAAACTTTACTAAAATGTTGACTCTAGAGTTAAACACTACATTCAGTCATATGTGCCGAGAGAAAATGAATCCATTCTTATGATCTAGCAAGTGCCCCAGCCTCACCTCGGGAAATGATCAGCCTAAAAGAAAGAAAAACAGACTATGAATCAACTGGAACAAACGCCACTTACCATGGAAATAAGGGAGAACACACTTCTAGGAAAGACACCATGACAGGTGAGATTATGCTTGCATAAGGTGATAGAGCGCTGATTTTATAGGCTTGGCTGGGTTTACTGTACTATAGAGAAGAGTCAGCCTGCTTTGGTTGATTCCAAAGTTTTAGCCACCCTGAGAAATACAACTGAAGAAATATTTGATCTTAATGAATACAATGCTGTGTGAAAATGGTTTGTGAAGACCATGTTTCTTCACAGAGGAAAGGCTCTGAAAGCAATTTTACATTTCTTTTTTACTTTAAGTTTGTTTTCATTTCAGAAGGAAGCGAGTAAATCCACCTTGTATTAACTAGCATTGTTTCTGAAGCATGACAATGGTTGAGCATGTGTGGTGATCCCTAACATCTGTCTTTTGCAGGGAATGGTTTTCTGGGACCGGTTCACTTATTTTGCACATCAGTCATTCCTAAGAAATTCAGTAGCAGTTTGTAAAGTCTATCTCTGTTACTTTCTCAGCTGTGTTGATGTAAATGGAACAATCTTCTCTGTGTATGTTACGGCATCTATTGCAGGTTTCACTGAAGGCTTCTCTTCCCTAGTGAGCTCATTAACCTGTTAACATTTCAGTAATTATAAAATTTTGAGTGCTTTGCCTACTACTGCACCTCTTTGTTAATTCTCGTGCAAAATATGTGTTGGTCTCCATCACCATTGCACAGGCTTATGTAACCTCTGTTGAACATTTTCATACATTTATACAGTGCTGAGCATCATGGTGTCCTCTCCTCCAAATGCTACCGCAGGGCAAGCAAAAAATCGCTGTGAGGAGTTACTTTGCACTTTCTGAATGCCTGTTACCTTTTCCCACGCCCTCTGTAGAGGTCTCGCTCGGAGGATGCCAGAATGGGCTGTCTTTGTGTTCCTCAGCTCACTGGGGACACCAGTAGCATGCTGACTCAGCGTCAAGCCATCCATACTAGCTTTCAAGACCGTATTTAGGATATGATACTCATACTACATCTACTGTGTTATATGCTATTGTGTAATCAAAAGCTAAAGGCCAGCCTTTGAATTTGTGTGAAAATGCATATATGGAACATTAATTAACATGAAAGTGAAAATCTGAAGAAGAGGAATGACAGTCAAGAGCATTTGGAAACCACAGAAATGAGGACTATCCTGAACGGCATCTGCAGCGTACTACATGAGCTTGCAGCAGATTCAGTCAAGGTACTGGATTTTATGTATCTGTAATATTTTGAGTGTTTCATAGTCACTGCACAAGGTGGTTCTCTAAAACACTTCAGTGGTCCTTACTTGTGTGATTGTGAAGGACAGGACTGTGGTTTTCCCACCACTTTGTCAAGGATCCACAAAGAGGGAATCTCAGGAGTAAGCAGCAGGCTGAAAAGGCAGAAACATTAGTATTTTGTCCTAGCTGTATCTACAAATTTAGACTACCAGATTATATCAGAAGGTTCATAAAAAAAAGGATTTCCATGTGGAAAATCTGTATTTCCTTGCAGATAGTCTTGTCTCTCTCCACACTAAAAAAATTGGCATTTTCTTTTTCCCCATCTCCTTTCATTTTGCGTGTAACCGTAGTGGTTTTCTTCTCCCATTCCTGTTTCCCTTATTTCCTTTCTCTTTCAATATAATTTTTGGATCGTGAGGTTTGTACTTCCCCAGCAGCCTTTGCTCCACTTTGATTTTTTCATCACGTTTTCCTTTAATGTCTGCTTGTATTCTCTCTGTTTTTATTGATCTTTTGGGTGGGCTTTTAGTAAGGAAACTGGAAACACTCACCATCATGCTCAACTATCGACTAATTTTCCAGGTACTGAGATCAGTGAGGAAAATCAAAACTGAAATCAAATTGAAAAGTTTCATAATATTTCACAATCATACACGACCATTGTACAGATTAATATGAAATTAATAAATCACTTTCTCTCTCTTTCAGGTCACCAAATCTCCACTCATTGATCTGAGCTCAAATTAAGCGCCATTTTAAGAACAAAAGAAAATGACAGTTAGAAGGAGTCTCACTTGTCAACATTCAACATGAAATTTGTGTAGCATATTTGTAGCTTATAGAATAAATATTTCATTAAAGAACAATATAAAATCAGTATTTTGTGATTTTACTTGTGAGACATTTTGACTTTACTTGGATGGTCTAATATAAGTTTGTGTAGCAAGTTCATTGCAATGCCTGTATTTTGTTTTATGGCATCAGACAATGCCTTGCAGCCAATACATCCACAGAGCCTATGGGACTTAGACAAATGTTTTCTCAGGTTCCACCTGGCATATACATATTTTGAGCTGCTCTTGTATTCTGTGCCAAGCTGATGTGTTACGCAAAGCTAGCTTTGACTTACGGATTTACACAGAATGTAGAGCCACAGTTGCAGTCCCAATTTATCCACAACTGTCTCCATGCTCTTCTCTGAAGCTCTTCTCAGTTTATAGTTCAGAAATTTTATGACCTCTTGGCTGGGACTGAAATGAAGGGGGTTTTGATGGATTTTCGAGGTAGAAATGTTGGTTTCTTGCCATTGTGGGGAGTTGTCAGGAAACCTCTGGGAAAAATGGAGAATCTATGAAGTAAACAGTTCGGCTGAAGATGATAACTTTTATTGATTTCACAAGGACAGCTAAAAAATAGAGGAACAATATCAAAGTTCTCATTGCCCTCTTCCCTTCACAGGTTTATGATGCCTTGTATATTTACTATCCATCTTCTCTGTAGAAAATAATAACCAATAATAAAATTTTATCACCTAAAGTATATTTTTAAGACAAAACCTATTATATTCCTTTAAAAAAAAACAGGAACTATAAGTGCATGTGATAACGTTATTTATGCCATGGTGTTTTCCTTCAGCAAAGGGAAGATAAGGTTACTGTATGCTATCATTGGACTCCTGCTCTAAAGTTTCCTTTACTTTGTTAGTTCCCTCATTATCCTAGTATGTACATCACAGTCTGCACCCTGTATCTTCACTTCCACCAGCAGAAACACCTTCTGATTAATTTATTTTCTTTTGGTTGCCAACAATCAATCATCTATACTTTTGTCATTTAACCTTACTTGCAAGTTCCTGCACATTCAGAACACAAACAACCACCATCAGCTGCTACAGACGCTCAGCCTACTTGAACTTCTTATTACTTTAAGAAACCATGATACACTGTAATCTTTTCTCATGCCCTTACCTCATCTTTCACCGTGCAGGAAGGTGGCAGTGGTAGTGACAGGTAATGATCTCTGTTAGCTGAGATTTGTGAGGCACAGAAGCATTTTCCTCTACTGTCTTGAATGAAATTTTAGAAAATGGAGTCCTGCTGCTTATAGCAGAAAAAGCAGGTTATGGAATAGCAGATGAGGATGACTACCTGTCCAGCTGAGCTTTCCTTTCTTACTATCAGTCTGTGTTTGTGAGGGCAAAAGGCTAGCACCTTGTTATTTCAAAGTGTCTGTAAATGTGTTCAGAATGAGTACTTTTAAGAACTGAAAGCTGAATGTCAAACCATGAATCAAGTGACTGGGATATATGGGGGTGGCTTCGGTCAGTGATATCTTTGTCACATAAACCACTGAGTGACATAATTTTCAAAGCTGTTGTCAGCTTTGCAGAAAACTGCTGTGGGGAACTATATGATTTTTTTTTAACCAGTATCACCTTGAAAACTGAACAGGGGAAAAAGGAAAGTATTTTTCTATAATGTTCTTTATGCAATGCAACCACGAAGTACTGCAGGTTGATCATAGTAGTCATTTTAGAACCTTCACAATTTTGCCTAGTAAAAAGTACCTCTTCAGTACTACCATGTACTGTTGTTTAGATACTGCATAAAATAAACACATACAGGCTCATCACTCCTCAAATTATTTCATCTGCAGCTACAATTCTCACATCTCTGTAAGGAAGCGTGGCTGCTGGAAAATCTCCATCTCTTGTTCCTTGTACCCTTGTCCCTTCTTTTGCCATGTTTTAAAAAATTACTTCATTAACCTCTCTTCCTCTCTGTTTGATGATTTTACTGTGATGGTACGTATACAATATTAACAGCAAAAATCAGATACTAACCGCACAATGTCTGTCCATTCATCTAGCTCATTGTCTTCCTTCTTTCTTTTGTATTTTCCCTCTGCTTTTGGACAGCAAGAGTCAACTGCTCACTGAAGCATGGCAGAACGGGAATGGAGTTCCCAGGGATGCCGCCTGTGTGTTCAGAAGCAGGTACTGGAGCCGGGCTGCATGCATTGCTAGCAGCTACATTGCTTGACTTCCATTTCCTCCAGCGACAGAATTATCTCAGCCTTCCAGCTAGACTAAGCCAAGATTTCTTGTTCTTGAACTCTTGGTATTGATTTCGAAGCATTTGATGTGTCACTGTATTTCTTTTTATTACATTAAGAATACTACTTTTTTTTTCATTTTAAACGTGAATTTGTATCCACATCACTGCAGTGAAATCAGCAACGCAGACCTTGCAGCTATTTTCATAAGCTGAAACTATCCATTTTTCCATCGCAGAATATGTGATCTGGGAGACTGTAAGTCTTCAATCTGGCATGTGACAATTCTGAGGACATCAGTGCAAATGCCACGGTAGTGCGTTGGTCAGCTATGCACCAACTCTGGACTATTTCTGGTTTTATAATAGTCATGGCTATTAGTGGCACATACGTACCATGTGCCTTTTTATATACCTATAAAAAGATGGAAAGGTCATGACCCTCCTTAAAGTCTCTCTGATTGCCTGTAGGAACAACATATAAATTAGCATGTGTCCAGTTTGCTGTTTTTCATCAGATTCTTTATAAAACCGTCAGATGTTGCACCTTATACCAATCTTTTATTCTTGACATCAACCAACCATGAACAGTATTGTCCTGTCAGGACTGCATATGTTCAGTCATGACTGACTAAAAACTTGCATGCATGAAACTTCAACCCTGCATATCTTGCAATGTATATACATGAAAACAAAATGGTTACAAGAACCATCCCTGGAAGTGTTCAAAAAAACAGGCAGACGTGGCACTCTCGGACATGGTTTAGTGGGCATGCTGGTGTTGGGTTGATGATTGGACTCATGATCTTAGAGGTCCTTTCCAATCATAATGATTCCTAGTTTTTACTTTCATTATAAATAATCCAGCCACCAAGCCAGGAAACACGAAATTGCTACTCTACCCTTAATTGGTTTAGTGGTGGATTTGGTAATGTTAGGTTAATGGTTGGACTGGATGATCTTAAAGGTCTTTTCCAACCTAAGCGATTCTATGATTCTATGATTCTAAGTTCTTCCCCTGTTTATAAGAGTCCAACACGTTGAATATCACTTTTCATTTTTTTCAAGAAGTAGCACTTCACAAAATGGGTAGCTGAAACACTAACTTTTAATATCTTTAGATCTTGAGAACAGGAATCTGCATTACCCAACTTGTTCTAGCACTTTGTAGGGCAAGCAAAAAACTCAGCAAAACAACTTAAAGATAGTATCAAGGAAAGATCTGGCAGTTGAACTACTGAGAGTCATGCCATCATGAGATATACCATGAATAGCAATGCTGATGCGGGCTTCTCTAATACCAAAGACTGTCATTGGGAGGGAGATTTTCAAACACTAAAGCAGAGGATGCAGCTGGAATATAAAAAACTCTGAAATAACAGTCAAGTCTCACACATCACTCAAGTTTGGTGACAAAATGCAAGCCTGAACAGAGAGAACCTCTGCAGATCAACCCTTTGCTACTAACATCTATGGCCAAAACCAAACTACTGAAGCAGTCATCATTTCCATCTGTTACCATGTATTGGCACACAGGCAGAATTAAGAGTACCTACCACTGGAAAAGACCAATCATCTTCTGTTACTAGAGTTCGCATTCTTCCCACCTTCAAAGAAAGGATCTTGCTCCACTCCTTAGAGACTTCCAGAGCTTTTCTCCATTTCCTACACAGGACTATGCACTGTCTCAGTAACTGCATACAGCTCTTCAAAAAACAACAGTTCTTTCATCCCTATTAGTTAATGGTTATCAAGTGAAAAATCTCTTTTTCCAGCTGTTAGGGCTCATTGCCCCACCATATAAGCCCTGTCTTTATCCTGTTTCAAGAACATGCTGGAGATCTTTAAGAACACCATCTTAGATCTGTAAAGCAGCAACATGGAACAGTGCACCATACTCTGGCAAAACATAAACCCCTCAGCATGGAACCCATAGCAGATGTGAAGATCAGAATTGGCATATTACAGTCAACTTTGACTAAAGACTATGTCATTCCTTTCTCTGTAGAGGGTGCAGTGACTGAGGGAAAGATAGAGGCAGTTGTACATGCTGGGGTCCATGCTAGCAGGTTGCCAAAGGAAGAAAGAGTGGTTACTTCTTCAGTAACTGTGTTTCTTCTTAGTGATGTGACTAGCATGGATCCCATACCCAGCTTTCAGCTCTGGTGCTCCATCCTCACCCTCAAAGGTTTTGAGTTGTGAAGGTATTAAAAGCAACTCTTGGTGCCTCCAGGTTTTATACCATTGCACAGAGACCTGAGAGAAGTTGCATGAGCAATGTGTTTCAATTCCACTGATGACTGATTCACAACTACTCAATTTTTTCTTTCAGGCACATGCTTTTATAATGAGAGTCCTTATGACAGCATCAAATCGTTGGTTATAATGTCTGGAAAGTTAATAACGCATGCCCAGTAAGAACAGTGCACAGCAGCCACCCAAAATACTACCCTCATATTCTTTCGGATATGAGAAATAACTACAATCTTTCTAGTTCTACTGGCAAGCTAAGCTTCAGCTAGACAGCCAAATCAAAGTGACCAATGAAGTCAGCTTTGCAGGGAGAATCCTTAGATTTTATGTGGGGTTTTGGGACAGGGTGGGAAATAATTTTTTGCAAAACTGTATGATGTTATCCTTTTCTTTAGAATTACTTCTGCTTTCATACTCATAGCTCAGTTTTGTCCCATGCATTTTAGTAGTAGGACATCTGAGAAGAAAGTGACAGCAGCTCGTGGATTTGAGACTATTTTGGCCAGACCTCTTCAGTACAACTACATATTACTTTTTTGCATAACTCATTTTTCAGTTGCATTTAATCACTTTTACCATTAATAATTTCACCGTGTAGCAAAGCACTGTAGGATAAATGATCCAGGATTTGGTGTAACATCATCCAACTGAAGTGAAAGGAATGAAAGTGAAAGCATACTATGATTCTATGATTCTATGAAATGTTTCTTAATCTCAATATTTACAACTGTTACCTGTTTAGTGTATGTGTGATATAAAATCCCATATATAACCTGAAATACATTACTGAATGCTAGCTGCGTATGAAATAATTTTATTGATTTATATCTGAAGTGCACAAGATTGGTATGTACATGACATAGCACCTGTTACCATTAGTAAGTGTATACCATGTGCATGATGTACACCAAAGCAAAGATTATGACTGTTTAGTGTGAGGAAGAGAAACTAGAAGTCTGCAGATGCTTTTAAAGATTTTTGTGTATGGGAAACAGGTACTGTATAATGTATTTAATGAAGCCTTAAGAATTCATTTTAAGGCCAAAGAGGTATGTTTGGTAAACCTGCTTTTTCCTTCCTTTTTTCTCTCTCCAGCTCAGAACACTGGAATCTCAACTTTGTACAGGAATTCGTATGGTGCACCTGCTGAAGATATCAAACACAACCAGGTAAGTGTGGAGACTAAAACGTTACTGTTCCAGATGGCAAAAGGCCAGTGTAACATCTTGTATGGAAACTAAGAAAAATATCACAAAGATTGATAAATCTAGATTAGAGGCACTGAGTCACCTGCTTGCGCAAATGCAAGCAATTCCACTGGCTTCAAACAAGCTACGTTCTTGATGCTAATGGATAATTTCAGCCCAAGTTTCAAAAAATGTCCAATAGGTTATGACAGCATACGCACAAAAATTATCTAAAGTGTTTAGGCCTGTAACTTGTAATGAAATCTAGAGGAGCTTGAGACCTGAATGCTTTTAAAGTTCTGGATATGTGTGACATAGACCACAAAAGCGAAGCTAACATTAATGGGCACTTCTACTGGCTCTGGTATCTTGTGGTGTCCTGTGCCAATGACTTTGGTTATGTTCGGTCACATTTTACTACTTGAGTATCATAAAATTCAACACCACTGCTGATGCCGCACAGCTCACATGCTAAGGCATCCTAGCAGAAACTCAAGTATTGAACAGTCCTGGAGAAAGAACCCCCTGTATCTTTTGCAGGGATGTGTATGCTACACTTAACATGTAGCAAAACCCCTCAGATTTGCCATTTAGTCACTCCATAACCATGACTGTAACAAAGTTTTTTGCTTGGTTGTTTTTTAATATATGCACTGGGGCATGGGCAAGAGAAAATGTAGCATTTCATCGGCAAGGACACTTGCTCATGTATATATATCCAAGGCATTCGGTCTAGAGCTTTGGGCCTCTTTTAAAAATGTCCAGTCCCTGCAAACCAGAAAGCAATAAGTACATCTGAATAAGGCGGGCATTACAAAAATGTAACTGGTGGATGGGTGCCAAGCTAAAGTACTCACAGAAAAAGTTGTAATATTGACAGGTATGGCTTTCATATAGCTGGTATTTCCAGTATAGTATTGCCTCAGTCCCTGGGAAACAGATGTTTTTGTGCATCCATAGGCTTTTTTTTCATCATTATGTATAATGCTACTTTATACTTAATTGTCACAACTCCTTAGTATTTTCACAACTTCCCTCTGTAATATGCAAAAGTTACAGCATGAGACAAAAAAACATTTAAGGAAAGCATTGAAAATTATTAATGGTATCAGACAGGTAAATGACTATTGAGTAAAATTGAGAAAACAGATTTTTCTCTGAAAATTTTTACGAGATTACCTGAAATTTCAATTTTAAAAAGCGATATTTCAGTTTTAATCCACAAACTTAAGGTGAAGAGAGTTTCTGATATTCTGTGCTGACATTTATCTTTATTGGTTTTGCTTTTTAATTAGCTAATATTTCCTGTGGTGCACCATGTTCCTTCTTTGTGTGAGCCACTTCAGTGCATGAAGGTGTTTCTGCTTTTATTGCATTTAAAGAGATGAAGCCCTTCTAATTAACACAATATTTAGAGAAAATAAGGGTATGAGGTATTGTAACAGCAGGTGCGCTCTAACTGCAGTCATGAATCAACTAATTTGATCTTTGGGGTGAGAGTTTGAGCAAAAACAAAACAAACAAAAAACCACAAAAAAACAAAACCAGTTTTCCACTTTTTCCCACTTGCTTTCTCAATGGAATGTCAGATTTATGACTGACATATCAGAAATAATGTTTTTAGCTAAAAGGAACCCAGAAATACTACTTCAGCCCTCTCTTTTCTACTCAGGAATTGACCATCTCTAACTTTTTGGCATATAAATAAGTTGCTTAGTATAGAATTTTTCTCCTGTGTCCAAAATTAAACACCTGTATTTGAATATGTGAAATGAAATGAGGGGCTTAAGGTCCTATACACCTTGATAGCAGTACTAGAAATAGAAACTAGAGTAGTTGTGCTCCCTTGTGCTGTTCTAACATTGGGCCCAGCATTGTAAGATCACTTGTAGGGTTGTTAAAGGACATGGACGGCCTTTTGCACTATATGCATAGAGTCCAATGTAGCCAAGCTTTGAAAGAATATCACAGCATTTTGGACAGTGCAACTGTTCCTTTCTTCTTGAAGGAGCATTACTAACCCTTGCAGAGTCAGCAGGATCTGCAGTGTCTTCTGACATCGCCGTCTGAGCATCAATATTCCCAGTGATGACCATTTGAGGATTGGAAGGCTGTATCATTTTGCAGTCACGAAGTCTGCCCAGACTTAATAGAGGTGGCATACAGTGAAAGGTAGTGTTCCAACGATAAGAACAGAGACTTGCTAGGGCTGTCTGAAAAGAACATGGCAAACTTAGGTGAGGGGACTGCCTGAGATTTTTTTCCCTGCATATCATAAGTATTTCAGCTTCAAGGTAACTTGCTGGAATGTAGCAACAACACAAGACTGACAACATGACATGTTAAAGAGGTGCTAAGAAGAAGGTTCTGCTTAACAGTAGCAGAAGAACACACTTCAGGGCACTTACCTTGAAATTTTCTTATCTCAGTGCCCTGAAGACTATAAATGGTTCTGAAGGACACAGTGTCACGCTAAATCTCACTTGTGGCAAAGGCAGCTGCAGAATGTTTAGGATCTTTGGAGTGTATATCACTTCCATTCAAATTCTTCAAGGCTGAGTTTTGGCCACCAATGTTTTCATTATATAGCTGCAAAACAGTCAGAAAGTTATACACAGATTATAGTTACGAAAGTAACTGTAAGCTATGCTGCTTGAACGACTTTTGAAGTAAACCAACATCTTTAGCAGCAATAATATTAAATAAGTGTCTTTAATAATATTAAATAAATAAATGTAAAGAAATGTAATGACGAGGCAAAGCTGTAGAATTAATTCACTACCGTGCAATACCTTGAGCAGATGTAAAGATAATGCACCACTTTTATTTCCAGCATGATAAACATAGAGTGAGATTTACTCCTCCTTCCATCCTGTTGCCCACACTAAGTTGTATCTGGGTATTACTGTCTTTCAGGTTTCAACACAGCCAGTTCCACAGGAGCCCAGCAGAAAAGATTATGAACCATATCAGCCGTTTCAGAATTCAACAAGAAACTATGATGAGTCCTTCTTTGAGGACCAAGTGCATCATCGTCCACCTGCAAGCGAATACAACATGCACCTGGGACTAAAGTCAACTGGCAACTATGTCGACTTCTATTCAGCTGCTCGTCCCTATAGTGAACTTAACTATTTTTTCCACTATCCAGCCTCTCCCGACTCCTGGGTTTGAGACTTGGGCAGATACAAAAGCTCCAGGAACTGTGCATGTGCATGCATACCACAAGACATTTTTTTTCCTGCAAATTTAGTTTGTTAAAGCCTGTTCCGTAGGAAGGCCCAGATAACCAGTATGGAAAAAATTAAGAGATTTTTTTAGAAGGCTAAAAGATACGAAAGCTAAACCTGGGAGTAATTAGAAAGAAATATATATATACATATATATATTTTACAGTGTGGGGCAACTTTACTGTTGGCCTGTAGAGTCTAAAGTTCAGTGCTGTATGTTGAATGTGGCTGAAGGAAGGAGGGAGAACACGACAGTGGATGTGGGTCAAGAGTTAAGCACAAGTAACTGAGCAGCGTACGTACTTTATGGGGAACAGCTTCTCACACTTTGTTTAATATCCTCATTCATTGTGAATCTAGGCTTCAAGTTGCATTTGGGGTTTCCTCTGTACAGCAAGATGTTTCTTGCCTTTTGTTAATGCATTGTTGTAAAGTATTTGATGTACATTACAGATAAAAAAAAAAACCAAGTGCATTGTGTATATTACACCAATGCCACAGTGTTTCTTCATCTATGGTTCTAAATATTGCTTCAATTTCAAATTTTGAAAGATGTATGAATTTCCAGTTTTTTTGTTTTCTTTTCCCCGGTGCGTTTTAACAAAAAAAAAATCAAAAAAAGTCAAAAAAACAAAAAGGAATATTTAGCAGTATTGTTCGTTCTGATATGTGATTTGTTTGTGGCAACTAAAAAAAAAGGCATTCAGCAGTTTCTGACAATTAACATTCATCATTCCACACTCCTTGTCAACAAAGTGCTTTTTCACTGCCTAAAATTTTAGATGTAGATATTTGAAATAGATTTTTTCATTTATACCAGTTTTCTTTATGATGATACAGTGTTAAAAGAAAATAAATTACAATTGATCTGTCATCCATATTTGCTAAGAATGTCTATTTCCAAGAACCTACCATACAAATACACATTCTTACTTGTGTGTGTCCACGTATGCATACTATTCTGTGTGCGTGTGTTTGAGTGTGTGCGTTCGTGTGGCGTAAGACTTCTTTTCATCCAATGTTTTCCTTGTTCAAGCTTCAATTTTTGTTTGATTTTCAGTTTTTTTAAACAGTGGAAACTCCAGTATGTGCTTTCTCTTACTCACTTCCTTAACCATTGATAGCAATTCAAAATTTTTAGGCCACATACTCACAAAGGAAGGGGTTATTGGATTTTTTTCACCGACTCCTTCACCCTTAGGTGCCATTTCCTTTAAAATAGCATCTCTTGATCCTCTCTTGAGGAAATTTCATTACTCTCCAGCCACCAACCAGCAAGTGCTCAAGGAAGGCAGAGTTTGATTTTGCCATCTCCCTGCGGGAATGGAAAACAAAGACCCAACAGACTTAAGTCTGGAGTCTCCAAATTCTTCGGGCTGTAGAAGAGTCCAACTCGTGAACCATTAGGACAATCATTTATTTTAATCCATACCAAAAAGAAAACCCGATACCCAAAACACATTCCTCAAATATGAAAGATACCGACCATTTCTCTGCATTTAAAGTAAAACCATGAAAAATAAAAAATGTAAGGGACAGAGTTGTTGTGGTTTTTTTTTTTTAATTAAAAAATAGAAAAGGAAACTAGGCTAGGAGGCTAGAAGAGCTGGCATATTCATCTTAGCTCTTGGGATTCTGGAAGGAAAAAAATCAAGCGTTTCTTCATTTCTTTGATTCAGGCAACAGTTCAGCATACAGTTTTCACAGCAAAAGACCCGCCACAAATGGAGTAGTTGTAAATTGCTTAAATTACAATTAAGGAATTTGTTTTAGGTTGCAAACATTTCTGTGATTAGTCATTGTAATAGTCTTAACATCACCTGGCACGCTTCTGGCTGTGCACAGGGGGAGAAGTCTCTCGCAAGTCATCACCTGCTCTATAGGATGCAGCCCGAGTAGTTCACGCAGGCGGGTATTGTGACGTAGAATTGGTTTATCGGTAATCTAGGACTATAGTTTAATCTTTTTGGCAGCTTTTCCCAGTGTACGATATGTAACCTTATCTGCTCTTTGTAGTAAACGGGGAAAAAATCGCATGCAAAAAAATTTTTAAAAAATTTAAGACAGGGTGGGTGGGAGGGCACAGTGGGCCAGATGTATAGTGAGGTAGATAAAAATATTATTCATAGTTTTGGACACAGGTTGTTTATATTTTATTTATTACATTGGTTTTAATAAGATAAGTGACATTTGCAGTGCTCTTTTGAACAAAGCACATTTTCAGTATAAAAGCTTTTTTTTAATAAAGAATGTCACTCGCAACTTGAAGTTCTTCTTGACTGCCTGATAACCACCAGGCTGGTGCCATTCTCCAGGCGCAGGATTGCCAACAGGCCGAGGGGATCCGTCATTCTGTTTGAAGTTCTTAGGACAGGAGGTTATTGTAAGTTGGATTTATTTCCATTCTTCAAACTACTGAAATGCCCACATTACCCCCTTTCAGCTCCTCTTAGGAATTACTTGGAGTCGAATGTTGACCATTGCTCAAGTGAGAGATTCTGGATCGATGAAGTGGCATAAAATACCTTTTGTCTATAGTTTGTGTTGTTTTGTTTCCATTCTTCTGTAGTGGCAAGTGCTCCGACTGATAACGTTCACTCTTGCTGTACTGAGTTCTGAGAAGGTGTTGAATTACCTGGCTTCTTTCCCAGGCTTGGAAATCCAACACTGCTGCCATACTGAGCAAGATATATATGATGCATTCTTTTTAATATTGAGGAAAGTATCATGACCTATTGCTGTTCCCTTCATTCTTGTACTAGATCACACACAGAAATAGAGAAGAAACAAAACTGTTCCAAAAAAGAAAAATGTATAAAATGCAATTGATGTACTGTAAAATGTCGGATTTTTTTTTTTCTTAACAAGCTTCGTATTAGAATCTTGTTCAGCTGTGTAGAGCTATATAAATCTCACTGTTTTATTAAATGCTGTTTATGGTCTGGAAGGAATGGTTAACCTATCTCAAGATTAACAAATTTGCACTAACGAGCAATATTGATTTGAAAAAAAATAATATGAATTCAATATTTAAAAGATAAACTATGATTTTAAAGGTATATTAACACTGAAAGTACATTTTGACAAATAACATATTTAAGCCCAAATGGTTATGTCAGATAACACAAAAGAACTATAACAATATAGATTGAAAAAAAAATGTGTTTCACTGTACATGTTGCTAACATGTACAAAGACAAACTCATATTGACATATTTTCTATTAATAAATCCTACTGTATTGTGGAGAATCGCTGGTCATAGTGCAATATGTTTAAACTCAGAAGTTGACTCCATAGGTGGATGCCTAGCTTCACACAGCCAACAAACCCTTGCAATTTATTTATCTTAAATATTAATCGGAGAGCTAACTTTCAGCTCTCAAGTCATCCACTACCCCCTCCCTCTCCACCAGGTTTACGAGCACAACCTACTCTACAACAGCAAGCAAAGGGGAAAGGTATTTTTGAGAAGAACACCCAGTTCACCCCCAATTATGGCTGCAAGAGCTCAGCTGCCACCACTTACAGAGAGATAGTTTATCTACACCTGTAGAAAAAAACTAAAAAGCTCAAGGCTGGTGCCACTGGATAGGAGCATGCTGTAAAAAAAAAATTATCTTGGCCCCAGCGTTATGTAGACCGCAGCCAAGAAACAAAGAGTGAGCCATTAATTTACTCGTGTGTTGCTGGGAGTCCCGGCGTGCCGTGCCTGTAAGGGCTCAGGAATAACTGTTTCCCAGGACTGGGTTGCATTAGCCTGCAGAAGTGTCTCACCGGGGAGACTTGCAACTCAAATCAGAAATGCTGACTTAATTTTTTTTACACCTTGGCACAGCACAGGCTGTGCAAGCCAGTGCACTGCAAGGGAGGCTTTCTCAACTCCCCCGCCCCTGTTACTCATCCTCTTGTGCCAGCAGGCAGAAAGAGCTCTGAGTTTAGTGTTATTGCTTGTATCACGGGGAGCAGTGAGAGGAGTGGGAGGGATGGAGACAGCAATCCAAGGGAGGGGGGAAACAGAAAAGGGGCCTAAACATACAGAAACTCGGAGCTTGTGCGTGAAGACAGACACACACCCATAATTACTAACAGTGGAATGGACCCAGCGAGAGATTTTATGCACCAAGATCATCAAATGTTACTAACAAGATAATGTACTGGACATTTAATAGCAGCAACATGATGCACGCAAAGCTTTATGCTAGATAAGTGGAAGGGAGCAGCAGAGGGAAATCACAGGTCACCGTTGGGCGCTTGAGCTTCAGCCAGCAGAAGATGCTAATGGTTGGACTGGATGATCTTAAAGGTCTTTTCCAACCTAAACGATTCTATGATTCTATAAGATGTTGGGCATGAGAGCAGCAACTGCTTACTGCTGTGAAGAGGAGACGGACGAGACTCTTGATCGAAGACTTTAAGACTAGGTCAGAAAGACATTAGGCAGCTAAAAGAGAGGCAACTTTTTGCAAACCTGCCCCCTTGCCCCGCCATACTCAACGGCAGAGTGTGGTCCCCCCAGCAGGTACACGGACACAGCGCACACGGGGGACAATCCCATCAAGGACCCAGCTTGCAAAGGCGCTTTACTATCAGCGGGGCAATACCTGGTAGAGGTGCGCGTCTGAGCAGCCACCCGTGCTGAACGCTGCCGGTGCTGGGGCCGGGCTTGCCGAGGAGCGGCTCCAGCCACTTGCAGTTTGAAGCCCAGCGTTTTCCCTGGAGGCCAGATGCGCGCCAAGGGCTGCTGAAGAACTGTGCAGCGCTGGCTCTTTTCCAGGGGACTAGCCAGTTTTTAAATAGCGGCCTAAAGCAAGTTTCGGACATTTAAGCTGAAAGCGGGGGATTTGAGTTTCATCCCCAGGTAAGGGGATTGAAGCCTGCAGCTGATACCTATGGGGAGGGAGGCATCCCCACCTTCCAGGCTGTTCTAAAAAGAACAAATGAGAAAAGCAGTGACTATCACGTCTTTTGACAGCCTGGATTAGCAGCACTTGCTCCTAACTCTTGCTCCACTCTTCTGAGGGCCAAGCCAAACAACCCCACCTAACACAAGCACTGCAAGTTCTTTCTCCCCAACATCTCACCCCCGGGTTTTGCACCATCTCGAGTGGGCCACATCATTCAAAAGATCAGCACACCACAACCCTCTGCAAGTCCAGCAAGGCACATGCATGAGTACTGGTGCTAGCCAGGCACAGTACTCTAGCAAGACACCGTGCCAGTGCATTATTCTTAAACCTAATTCCCAGTCGAACTCACTTTAGTATTTCTAATGCAATTTTAAAAGCAGTTTCCTTCCTCTGTGGGCATTGGTATTGCTTTGCTAGAAGAAGGCGCATGCTAAACTCTTGCAAAGTGTAAACCCTTAGCTTACACCTCATTTTAAAGCCCACAGAAGTCCCTGGAAAGACTTCCGTCAGCTTCACCAAGCCATGGATCAGGCCCAAAGTGAAAACAGGTGAAGAATTGGTGCAACCTTCTCAAAGGATGAGCACATCGAGACTGCTCTTGCCAGCATGCCAAAGGCTGCAACCTTCTAGTAGCTAAAAGGAGAAAAAAAGCAAGTTATTTGCCAGTACATGTCTGTCAAAATTTACTATAGTGCCTTTGGCTCCCTGTAATTTTATTTTCACTGCTTTAAGAGAGTGACATAGATAAAAAGTACTTGCAGTGACTGATTGTTGCAGTTAATTTCAGTAGCCAGATGAGTAGTTTCAGACACTGAAATACCTTTCTTTTCCAGACAGACAAAATCTGAAGCTTGCCACTAAATCTAGGAAAGCAAAATAGCAGTAGTTTGCTGATTCACTTTTTTCACAAATTCATTTAAAATATTAATTCACATAAGCCTTTTCATTTATACATAGCCCAGTGGC